TGAATAGCCCATCATCATTAGGGTGAGAATCCCTGCCGGGATAGTCTTTCACTCTTGTAATATCCCTCCTCATCCTCCTCCTCCGCCCACTGCTCTGACTCCTAAATGACCTTGCCCTGAACGAGTGAGACGCAGCAAAGAGACTGATCACGAAGAGAGAGAGAGAGTGAGGGAGACTAATGAGTCAATGTGAAGGAGAGGTGTTTAATCTCAGGCCTTTGTTTCACAGTTCTGTGGTGAAGAATGTAATGAAAAGGACTATGGGACTGCTGCGTGTCACACATTAATCACAGGGTGTGTGTCTGGGTCTGTGTGTCAGTGTGTATCTGTGAGTCTATGAGTGCATGTAGGGTTTTTTTTTGTACACACAATTACGTTTCATCAGTGAGCTCAGGGGTCATTCTTCTAAGAGAAGTTTTTTCTCTACCAAAAGGTTTTTATTGAATTACCATGACAAAACAGAGATAACCTCTGACCTTTAGCATTTACATGACCTGAGGTGAATAACTGCGGCTCTCTGCTTCCCCTGACAATGAATCAGTTTGTCTTGTTGGTCAGGCTCGATTCTTGAAGTATAGTGGTCTTTATTAATCCTCACTAAAACCATAAAGATTACATCTCTCCACCTCTCTATCCCTCTCTGATTTTCTCTCGCCCCCGCCTCCTTCCTCTCCTACTTGGTCCTTACTTGTGTCCCTGCAAAACATAGAACATTGGGAACAATGGCAGCAAGGCAGAAAGATGTCTAGAAACAAGCCTGCTCAAATATAATGTCAAGGTCATATGCAGGGTGGATGTTGTGCAGCGCTGTTTGTGTCTCTCTCTGTCGGTTGCAACCGTCTTATGCAAAGGGGTAAGACTCCAGTAAGATGCCTTGAGTGGATGTTTGTTAATTAGTGCAACACGTAAGTTTTTTAAAAGGAAACACATTTAGATATTCTTCATTATCAATAAAACATGGAGTTGACAGTCTGCCAGTGCAAAACCTTTTATGTGAATGTCAAATTAGAACAGCGAGCAAATTTGACATTTTTTAAGAGCCCAACAGCTGCAGACAGTTTGTCTCCGCTTAAAACTTTTACATCTCAGCGCCCACCTTGCTAATGAAGTACGATGAACCGTGGACGCCTTTCTCTGGGGAATCTTTGAATCACATTTCACACTTTCACCGTGCAAGCAAATCATTCTGGCATCACAGCGTAGGATTTCAACAACACTACATTTTGTCAAATGTAGTGTAATTAATATAATGACAGATTACACTTAAGCCGTTACAGCATACTTAATGAATGTATGCTCTGTTTTGGCTTCACCCTTCAGAGGATCTCTGGGTAAAACAGGGTACAAAGGTTGGTCTCAGGCTGAGAGACAGTGGAGTTTTATTTTACAGTACTCGAATTTAGTTTAGTTGCATAACACAGAAAAGCAAATTGTCCGCAGTGTTTATTCACAGTTGATGCAGCGTGAAGTTCAGTTTCTATAGCAGTTCCATTCTGGTAAAACTAAACAAAAAGCGTGAAATAAAGATCAGCTCAAAACTGTGGAATCCCACTATATAAACTGCTGATTTTGGCATATCTCTGCAAAGCTGGCATCAAGCCTGTATTGTTGCTACAATATGTAGGGACATTATCAAGGTTGTGGATGAATGTGTTGGTAAACTGTGACTATGACTGGTAAGCTGGTCTACCCAAACAGCCACTTTGGCAGGTAACCAGCACTCATTTGGATATTATTTATTTCTAAAATCCTATATTTAAACATAACAAAGTTTGTTTTTTTGGGATTTATCGCCCACTCTGACCAACAGATGATGAAGTTTGTTTTCTTTTCTGTTTGCAGTATTGTATTCATAACATCATTAAATGTTCAAATAAAACATTCACTGATGCTTGTCTGTCTTTCATGATATGACACAGAATATGATTACAAGTTATAATAACTTCCGCTGCTGTCAACACACGCAGTCAACTGTCATCACAACTCTAAAAAATCACGACTCTCCCACAATGGGATTTGGCTGAGGATGTGTGGGAGGGTGTTTCTACAGTGTAGCTGGCAGCCATCAGCATGAAAAGAGTGGTTAAGGGTTATAGCTGTGCAGCTGTTAGCCTTTGTATGTGTATGTGTGTGTGTGTGTTTGTGTGTGTGTGTGCGAGAGAGTGTGTGTTTGCTTGTCTCTGGTGTGCGATTAGCAAACACATTATCTTCTTCGTGTGGATATTATGCACACATCCAGTCTATCTGGCACAATCACTGCAACCATTTACTCAGATATCTTTCCCTGGGGAATCTTAGAGCACAAACAACGGTATTTTGAGTGTGTGTGCATTGAACATGTTTGTGTGTATGCCTTCTATGAGAGGTAATCAGATCTGTTCCCTCCAATCAGACAGAGATTGAATTGAATTGGCTGTCTGCTGTTGTGGTTGTCGGTAGAGGCCAATAGTGGATACGGGGGGACAGAAGACAAAAAACGACACTCACTAGCAGATAGAGGCACACACATTCCAAACGTGGCTTTTCCATCACTGAAACTATATTTAGAGATAACTGCCTCCTCTCTGTCCCCTCTTGCTATCTGCTGCCCTTCTCTCCCATCAGTTTATTTCAGGAAAATTAGCAAGCTATCCATCCTGCTGTCTACTCTTTTCACCAGTCTGTGCTCTCATCGTACCCATCTATTTATCCATCCGCTGACTTTTTTCAGTACTATAATAACTTATAGGGGGGCAGGTAAGGGTGGTGAGATGTGATCAATGCTATTCCCGGGCAGGCATCTCATTCCACAAACCCCCATCTTCTTTCTGTGCAGCAGCTCCAATGACACACTCTTCTGCCCCTATTCTTGAGTGTTAAAAAGGCTTCACCTAAGCTTTCAAATGTGACCAAACAGAATAAGCATTCAAAACGTCTGGCTCTGAGAGAATAGTATATATTAGTGAAAGGCTTTTATTTGCTTTCCTGAGTCTTTGACTGTGTGTGTGTGAGTGTGCGTGTGTGTGCATGCGTGGGGTGGGGTTTGGGGCTGCAGTAGCTTGTGAACTCTGTGATCCTCTCAGTGTGTTCAGCTTACTCCTCTCCTCTATACTAGTTGGTGTGGCTTTGCCCCACCGCATCACTAACTACGGTCTCCATAGCAACAGTTTGCTCCCTGCTTATAATTTGCACAAAAGGAAAAACGTCCCAATGTCACACACAGGCTCTAATAGAGGCCGTTACTCTCACCCTGCTG